TGTCCGTAGGTGTCGAGTTCCGCAATCATCTTGGTTGCGTTCTTGGCGAGTGCATGTTTTGCCTTGGTAAACTCTTGTATTGCTTGGGCATCTTTCTTGGTGCGTGCAATCAGTTGTACCGTTTTAGCGATCTCCTGCATATTAGCAGATGATAGTGTAGCTTTATTCAGTACCGGCAGGATAGCCGGTATGCGTTTTTTTTGTGTCATAAGTATTCAATATATTTTTGCCGGTCTGCGCCATAGAATTTGGCATGCAGCTGGGTTACGGTTACTTTATCACCATCTTTTACTATTTCGTATCTCTTGGGGAAATCTCCCCATGTTATATTAACGAAATACGGACTTGCAATTAGTCTTAATAGATCAGTTGGGAATAACCGCATAAAATTGTTTTCACGTTCGTCTCTGTGTGGGTGGAGTAGGATAAAGTGGGTAAATTTACCTCTCCTTATTATTCCATACTCAACCGCAGTCTTGATTGTCTTTTGCATATCAACAATAGTGCGTTTCTATGGTAAAACAATTTTTGTCCCTACACCACAACACAACATGTTGTCCGTTGATGAGCAGGTGCATGCTTGTAGTGTAGATGCTCATTGCTACATTGATTACATATTGCTTAACCCGGGTGTTAAGATTAACTCCCTCTGTGCTTATATACTCACCATTTGTGAGTGTGAAGTACTCAACGTAGCAATTCTGCTTTTCGTTGCACCATGCAGGTTTTCCCCTGTGATCTATGTAAACCATATCTATAATTTGTTAATAGTTAAATGTCTCCTACCTTTTTTGCCATGCTTGTATTTGCTCATCGGTCTTAACCGGAGGCTTGTACCGTAATCCCTTGGGCTTACATACCAGCGAGCTTTAAGCTCCTTAATCAGCCATTCTGTTCGCTCTGCTGCGTTCATTCCATCCAACAAATTGGATGCCTTTTTGCGTCCGAAAATTGTTCGTGCCATAATTCTTTTTGATTTGTATTAAACATTTGTTTTATTGTTAGTTACAGACCGTCAATTGCCAATCTGTAATGCTTTTAGTCTATAAAGAAGAATTTAATAATATCGGCAAGTGATATTGCCAAATCAAAATCTTTTAGCCTCCTTTGTAGTGCTTGTGCATATCCGGCACTCGCTATCCGGTTATGTGCTAATTCGTAATCCGAAAAGTTTTTGAGTTGGTCTTGTAACTTTGCGGATGTTTCTTTTAATTGCATTGCGAGTTCTCTAATCTCGCGTTCGCTGAAATTTTCCTCCATGTTATTAAAAAATTTATAAATACTTGCATATCTCATTTTTTTGTTGTACCTTTGCAATCGTTTTCAATTGTAGTTTACTTTTGTGAATTTCATCAAAAATCTTTAATCGTGATTGTGTGAAATAAAGATGTGTGAAATTCCGGAGTGCAAATAACTAAAATTCAATCATTTAGCATTTCACAAAAATAAACACTCCTGTGTAATCTTTGAAAAAGTACATTTTGGCATCGTTTCCGAAAACCGGTGGCAAAATTACTGCTTTTCTTTGAATTACACAAGAGTGTATTAACTACGTGCAATTTTATCTTAATAATCGTATATTCTTTTCTTATTTATAGGAGAAAAAGAGGGTAATTTCGGTGTCCTTATTATTGGAAGAAACTGTGATCTGCTCCGGGCAAGATTGCAGTTGTTTGGTGGTAACCGGCTGCTTTAGTACCTGCGAGCCATCGCCTGTGCCTTTCATGGAATAGACAACTTGTATATAATAGGTGTCGTTTGCATCTTGCCAATCCGTAACCTGTCCGGGGTTGGTGGCGGTATATGATTTAGGTAGCACATTATTTGATAGCAACTGCCATCCGGAGATATACCAATAGTCATTTATGATTAAATCCTCATCGAAGAAACGTACTCTATAATACACATCCTCCCAAGGTATCTTTGTGTACTCATACCCACTTACATAGCATGCTGTTGGGTCTTTTACGGTTACATCTGCATAAGTCTCGTTTGACTTTCCATTTTTGGTACTTGCGGTAAGTTTGATTCGGTATGCTCCCTGCTTTGCGTATATGTGTACAGGTGCTGCATCTGTGCTTGTTTCTCCATCGCCAAAATCCCACTTATAGTAGTCGGCATCTACAGACTTGTTTATAAGTGTAACCTTGCGAGGTTGTGACACGCTGTAGCTGAATATGGCTACCGGGTCTTTTAGGATGCTACCGGAGCCGGTTGTTTGGTTGTTTGCGTTGTTTGTGTAAGCGTTTGGAGCATCCGGCTCATTCTTTGGTTGGCACGCGCATAGTAGTGCCAGCAGGAGGGTTGGGATAATAGTGTAGTGTTTCATATTGTAGGTGTTTTAGAAATCCGGTGCAAAGTTACGAAATAATTTCGATATATGCAATAGTAAGCACAAAAAAAAGCAACCCGGTGGGGTTGCTCTTTGGTCGGTTCACGTTTCTGTTACGTATTAAAATAACTTCTCCTTACTCCGTTCTCCTAAATTGTTATGTTGTTAAAAACGCTGCAAAATTACTACATATATTTTATATGTGCAAATTATTCGGCAAAAAAATGGGATTAAAAATAAAATCCGGCATAAACGACTGTATCGCCCTTGATATATCGCTCACCGTTCCCATCGAACTTGTGACACAGGTATTTTCTTTCGCTCCGGTCGTACTCGTCCTTTACCCATACAGGTGCTGTGTCAGTAGGTCGGAGTTTGAAATATACATCGCCCTTTAGGTCTTTGAGCTTGACAGCATACATTTCATCCTCTCCATATCCATCGTTGTCACGAGCCAGCAGGCTGTTGTTGTAACGGATATTTCCAACTCCATCTGTAGTAGTCGGTCGTTCCGGTCTGCGCAGTGGTTCGAGCACCGGTGTGTATTGGTCCGGCTCCTGCGGTTTCTTCCGGAGAAGTAGGTAGGCAGTTGTCAGTCCTGCTGCCAGCAATAGTGTATTATTCTTCTTCATACGCGCATATATTAAAAAGGTACATCGTTGTAAGCGTCTTGTTTTTGGTGGGCATCATAGTATGCGTCCAATACATACTGCTGTGCCTGTCCTACTGATTGGATAGAAAGCAGCGCGCTTATAATTTCGTCTCGTAGCTCCATATCCGTCCTTTCGCCTCCGGAGTGCTGCCACAGATCATGTGCGAGAGCAAGGACTGTTGCACCATCCTTAGCGAGATAGGATATACGCGCCTTGCGTTCTGCGTTTGCGTTGGTGGTAGTAGCGAAACACTCCTGCTTTACTGACTGCCAATTAAGCTTGCGTCCTGTTGCAATATACCATGCTGTTGCATAGTAACCGTTTACGTTTGGCACATCTACAAAGCTTTCGTAGAACCAATCGAGTGCACGCTGTAGTATTTGTGCATCAGTTCCGTAATCGTGGTAGGTGAGTATTACATCGCCCCGGTCGTTGCGTATTGTGTAGTCTGTGTGTGGCAGGTCGGTTTCGCCTATTCCGGAAATAGCGTTGTAGGCACGCGATATGCTGTTATAGTATTGCTCCGGCACGCTCTTAGTGCTCCGGCTGGAGCCGGTGAATCCGTTTGCTGTAGCGCAATACTTCACGCGCCCTTGCTCCTCAGCGGATAGGTCTGCCCACTTCAAGCCCAAGGGTATAGCGAACTGTTGCAGTTCTGCCATCTGTTGGTAAATTCTGCGTTTCGCTTTCTTAGTTGCGCCTATACCGGCAACCGGTTGTTTGCGTGCACCAATCAATCCGAGTGCAATCGCGCCAAGTGTTAAAAGTGTTATCATATCCAATCTTCGTAAATTTCTAAATCAAACCATCCTGTTGTTTTCTGGAGGAGCTGTAAGCCCTCCCAAGTTCCATCGAACCAAAATTCAGTTCCCCAAGAGCCATCGAGAATAATAAAACGCAAGTTCTTTTCCGCAAAGATATTCTTTCGTACCGTTTTATGATCTACTCCATCACCAACGTACATTACATTTCCGTTCTTGAAACCGAATGTGTAGTGATCATCATCTGCGCTCCATGCGTTGTAGTACCTTGCATTATCTACTACATCATCGAAGTAAGATAGCATCTGTAGCTTTCCGCTGTAGTCGCGCGCATCCCTAAACTCCGGAAAATATCCACTCTCAAAGAAAGCCTCTGTGTTTACGTTGTCTGCAAACAGTAGGTCAAAATTGGGAGTATGTATGAAATCGGCACTATAGTCTCTCATATCCAATCAATTGTTAATTAGCATACCTGCTGCAAATATAGCGACTACAGCTATAGTCAGCATGCCTATTGTTCTGTAGCTGCTTTGTTGATTTGTTTGCAGCATGTTATATCCGTTCTCTATGGCTGCTTGATCCGGGTAACCGGGGATGTTTCCGTTTTCGTGTACCGACATGGCAGCAGCCAATTTGATAACATCCGCTTTCCGGTCAAACGATATACGAGTAAACGGAGTAAATCCTGTTTGGTTGCATACACTATTGATATAGGCTTGCGTGTTATTCTCGTTGGTTGGAGCCCATCGCGAAATAATATCGCCTACTGTGGCATATCCCTTATTGATATACTTGCGGATTAGGTACAGAGCAGCACGATAGCCATAATCCATCGAAACAAATTGCTCAAACGCTCCGTCCGTATTGGGGAGGATCTTGCCGAGCCAATTGTTAGCTGTGCTATACCGTATATTTAGTGGGTTGTTGTTTCTGTACCCCCTTGAAAGTTCTTTTGTCATACTCTTTGCCAAATTATATCGCCATTAAGCGTTATTGTGTCGTATTGCTTATCCCCCAACTTGTTCCGGAATCGAAGTGCGAGGTTTCCTGCTCTATTAAAGTAGAAAGCGGAATTGTATTCTACATACCAATAGTCGCTCAAAACTCCCCCTCCGTTTATATGACATACCAATCCTATATATTGGTGTAGTGGGTAGGAAACTATACTATTTCCTTCCTGCTCACAGTATGCTGTCGCTGTTACCCAGCTGCCATTTTGCAGTACATCCAAACATTTTGTAGGCTGTAGTCGTTTCATCGTTTCTTTAGTTTTATTACTATGGCTACTATACCGGCTGCAATCGTAAGCAGCAGTATGATCCATGCAAGTTTACCGGACTTCTCCCAAAATACATCCCATTCATCCGGCTTTACATATCCGTCCGGGATTACCGGCTTATAGATAGTGTCGGTAGTCGCGGAGGTGACAGTATCATGCACCGTCTCGTTGTGGTAGTGGTGCACTATACTGTCGTTTCTAACATAGACCGTATCACCTTTAGTCTCTACCATAACTTGGTGTTCGATATAGATGCTGTCGATGACGCGCTCTATGTTACTGTGGTTGTGCTCCTCTTTGGATATGCTACCGGCAACCGTATTCCGTTTGCATGCGCATCCGGTAGCGACTGCCAGCAGCACTATAAATAATAATCGTTTCATCGTTCCTCCGGTATTCCATCCTGTTGCAGCGTGGAGTAGTCGATTTCAGCAATAGGGTAGAGACCGCTAAATGTTTTACCGTTGGTAGTCTTGCCGGTAAGCCGGACAGCAGCCTGTCCGTTTACCCTTGTGAGTACCGCTGTGTACCATCCCTCGCGAACTCCCCTGCGTATGTTCTCTGCGCTTACCTCCGAATCACTCATGCCGGACACATCCTGCTTTGTGGCTCCGATTATCAGCGCACCGGCAACTATTATGCCGAGTATTACTATACCGTCCATAGCCTTATAGTTTTTAGTCTGTTATTGTTTGTTCGTTGTTTACTTGTGCAAGTTCGCTCTCCATTTGTATAGCCACTTGTGCAAGAGCTCTCTTATTCTCTATGTTTGCCTGTGCGAAATCGCCAGCAGTCCATTTTGCTACATCTTTCATATCCTTGCGAAATTATTGTTGCATACTCAATAGGTATTCTTGTAATGATAACACACCCTCTTGTCCTGCGTTCGTGCCATCGTATCCTCCAATACCAAGAATATAGATAGCAGAGCCGCTGATTAAGAAAGCGTTCTTGCGATCATCTTCCGATGTTCCACAACCGTGCATAAATGCAAACTGACCGCCCTCTACCTTATTCCAGCACCCTTGCGCATGCGAACCGCCCTCGGTTGTTACGGTACGGTATCCCTCCGCGTGACTTGCTGCACCGTTCACGTTTGTGTAACTTCCTTCTGCGTGAGCGCTGCCTCCATTAGTTCCAGAGCTGCAATAATTACCCTCTGCGTGGGATAGTGCTCCGTATGTTGTACAATGTTCTCCCTCTGCGTGAGAAGTTCTACCGTTTGAAACGCTTACCAATCCCTCTGCGTGAGAAAAAATAGCATTAGCAGAACACGAATCTCCGTGTGCAATACAAGAACCTCCATTCGCTCTATTTGAAGCACCAACTGAGAGAGAGTTTAATCCTGCACTACCAGAACCCATTACAACACCGCTATTACTGTTAAACATCACACCCTTTCCGCTTGTATAGGTTACCACGTTCTCGCTCGTGATATTCACGCGCTCTGCGCTGATTTCTCCGTCAGCACCGAGGTAAGAGCAAGTGAAAGCGATTTGCGTAGGTGTTACAAGGTTGGGGTGGAAAGCGTGATCTGACCGTATTAACACTACAAAATCCGGCTCATCAATCAGCATCGTATAAATCTGCGCATGCGTCAAAATGTTACCGTCTTTATCTTTGATTGTCGTTTCGCCTGCGGTGTTGTATAGAAGATGCTTAAATTTAGACAGGTCGTTTATTGCACCAAACAATGTAGGAGCTTGCCCATCTAAGGGCTCTCCAATCTTATTGTTAATCTCCTCCACAACCCTTGCAACAGGTCGTGTGGTGGAAGTGCCTAACTTTTGTTCTATATCTTTATTTGTCTTTTCCATATTGTTACATTTTAGACAGGTTATTTATTGCCTCAAACAACGTAGGAGCTTGCCCATCTAAGGGCTCTCCAATCTTATTGTTAATCTCCTGCACCACTCCGGCAACAGGTCGCATAGTTGAAGTGCCATATTGCTGCAACCGTTCCGGTGTGCTATATATATTCATCTTCTTTTCCATAAGCGATTAGTTATTAAGTTGTGTTTTGAGTTGTGCTATTTCTGCCCGGAGTTCCACAATCGTATTGAGCACTCCGGAATATCGCTCCTCCAACTGTCCGTAGCGTATATCGCCATCTTCTACTCGTTTTTGGAGCCGCTCCACCTCGGACTTTAGCCCATCGATGATTACATCTTGTGCGTTGTACCGGGTAGCGTCTGCCTCTGCATCCAACTTCTTGCGGAGTGCCCTGTTATTGGCAAGCTGTAGTATATTGCAGCCTCCAAACAGAGCCATGAGTATGGTGCAAAGTGTGTTGTAAATACTTAGATCGCCCATTATGCTTTAGAGTATTGCAGCCTCGTAACGCGGACACTCGCACCGGCTTGCAGCACGATGGTAATAGGTGTGTTCCACAATACATCCGGCTGGAGGTGAGTAAAATCCAATCCCTCGCCCGGTGCAAGGTCGTAACCGGCTACCGTTGCTACCGCTGTGCCGGTATTCATCGCAAGCCATCCTCCAAATCGAGAGGGGTTTATGGTTGCGTTCTCTGTGTAGGTCTCTATTTTAGCGTTTACTTTCCACATAGCCTTAGTTAATTAGTGTGAGTATTCCGGCAGCCAATAGCAGCAGCCGATTGCGTTGTTTTGCTTTTTTTTCTTCTTCCTCATAGCGTCTCTGTGCCTCCTCTATATCCTCTCGCATCTGTGCCTCCTTTTCTTCTTCCTCCGAAAGCGCATCGCGGACTATCCATTGAGCAGGACGGATGAAAAACGTGCGGTCTTGCACCACATACGGTTGCAGTTCGTCCACCGTATTGCGCATTCGGTCGTGACGCTTTATATACCCGGACTTGCCAGCCATATATGCCTCAAACGCGCTGCACGCTTTCCATGGGTTAATATCGTTTGCCGAAACGCGGTACATAGCAGCGTACCACTTGCGCACCTTATCCATCCCATCGGTAGAGTAGAACTTGCTGTACGTGTCCGGGGTAAGTCTTACCACATTTCCGGAAGAATTAACATACACCATCGAATCATACACGCTCATCAGCTCCTTGTGCGCATCCGTCTCGGTTACGTTTCCGCTCCGGTCGTACTGCCAGCCATAATCGGCAAACAGTTCTGTGAGGTAATCTTTAGCCTCGTAGGTAAGCGTATATTCTGCGCTATCCTTGCCGGGATCATCCTCCGTCCGGATTAGGGGGCAAACTTGTGCCTCGTAACCGGTAGGGCGAGCCGAATCCTTTTGCAGCACATAGATAGCGTTTGTGTTTTGGTCTCTATCCTCCGGGGTTGGGTACATCTTGGCAAAAGTGCACTTAATATGCGCCCGGCTTGTTTTGGTAGTGTACTTCTCCATCACTCACCTGCCTTTCCGATATACTTCCACAGCAGCAGTCCTCCGGCAGCAATCAATCCCCATTTCAGCAGCGAGCCATAGTTAGAGAGTGACTGTTTGATACGCGCCTTGGTTACTATACCCTTGGTCTCTTGCAGCAGTTGGTTATACTCCTCCTCTGTCAGTTTCTGCGCAAGCACAGCGGTAAGTTCCTTGCTGTACTTCACATCAAGCTCCGATTGGTCTGCATATCGCTTGTAGGCGAAATAAGCAGCAGTCGATAGGGATGCAATCACTATTGCAGAAATCACCACTATTGCAGTCACAGATACTGCACCTATACCGCTTGATCCGGCAGCCATAAATCGCTCCATGTAGGGGGCGAGTTCTGCATATCCGGTAGGGTAGGAGGTTTGCACGTTCTGCACCAGCCCACCTTTTGTAAGCGATTGGTTTCGCTCCATCAATCGGTTTTGCAGTTCGTACAGTCGCTGTCTCTGTGAAATGGTGAGGCGGTCTGCATACCGGGCGCACAGCAGGTTGTTAGCCACGATTACCTTGTTATTCTTAATAATCTTATCCACAAGTGCCTGTGCCTGCTTTTGGGAGTACCGGTAAGCAGAGCCGGTTACCTCTTGCCAATTGCACTCTGTGTCGGTAAGTGATATATACCCACCGGACACCGTTTGCAGCATGAGACTGCCACTATATCCGCTTACTTCCGACCAACCTGTTAGGCAGACGGTAGTGTAAGTTGCAGCGTTTGCAGCAGCATACCGCTGCACATCCTCCCGGTAGGAGTAGATGAGCGGACTACTGCTTGCATAGAACTTACCTGCGTATTGTTGCAAAAATGTCATAGCTTACTTAGTTAGGAATCCGCGAGCCATCGAGTAGGTGCTATCGCCAGCCTCTGCCATCTCTACCACTCTGCGGATCAAGGTTAAATACTCCGGTTCTACTTTCTTGAATCGCGCCAGCAGCTCCTCAATCTCCTGCACCTCCTCATCCGTAAATACACCCTCGGTAGTGTCTTCTACCGTTTCGGTCTCTACAGCATGGATAGGGGCAGCCTCTACAGGAGCCGGTGAATCTACACCATGCACAGCTTTCTGCGCCATCGTTGCGAGCAGCGGTTTCATGTAGCCAACAAGCGTACCAATCGCGCTGTTCTTGTCGCGCTCAAACTCCTTGCGCTCCTCGTCAAGCTGCTTGCGCTCCCTTTCGTACTGCTTGCGCTCAAACTCCATCGTCACCTGTTCCCGGACTTGCTTAATAATTTCGTCCTTGTCGAAAGCTCCGGCAACAGCAGCAGGGGCAGGGGCAACAGCAGGCATGTTACTTGCTCCACTCCCAGCGGACAGGAGCACCTCACATGATGCACCACCGCTGTTGCTTTTGTCCGTTTGGTAGCCGACACCATACAGACGCGACCCTGCGTTTTGCTCAATATACTTCTTCGTCATGGCAAGCTTTTCATCCATAGTGTCCGAGCCATACCATGCCGAATCTACTATCTTGTCGTTTGCGCGCTCACCATCCGAGCGTTTGTCCGGATTGGTCCGGTAGAAAATCCAATGCGCGAAATGGTTGTCGGTGATCCATTCCTCAACTTGTAGCCAATTGGTGCACATAATCAGTCCTCCTTATTTTTCGTATTGCAAATTCATAAATACCGACTTGCCAACATAATCTGTCAGTACAGACGGAATAGTTCCTGCACCGCCAATGGTGATATAGCTGCTTTGGAAGTCAAACACGATGTTTTGAAACTCCGACTTTTGCAGCATCTTGTCTTGCAGCAGCAGGTTAATCGGCAGGTTCTCTACGATATTGTAGCTGCCCTTGCGCAAGGTCAAATACAGGTTCTCTGTATCGCCTGCGTCTATACCCTCCTTAAAATCCGGAGTAACAGCAGGAGTAGCCAGCAGCAGCCTGCGGAAACGCTTGCCTACCATCCTATCGCTATCCGGCAAACGGTTGTAACGGATAGCAGTTGTAAGGGGGATAGAAATGCTATCAGTAATCAGCGTGTCGGTAGTGTTCCGGCAACTAAACTCCGGCAGATCATACCACATCACGATAGCAGCGGTCTTACCAACGTATGCCGGGTTTTGGCAGTCGATGTAGCTCTGCTGCACACCAATTCGACAACCTATAGGCTGACGGATGCCGAGTGTCTCTTTGTAGTTGAGACGCTGGAGGGGCAGGTTACGGTGAATCTCGGTATTGCCGAACTCATCATAGATAGTCACAAACATGTTGTCTGTGCCGGTCAAACCTGCCTTGTCTGTGTCCGGCAGATAGGCAGCCGGTGCGAAATCAATATACTTAATTACGCGCTTGTGGATATTCTCCGTAAATGGGAAATAGTTCTTACCAACGCGCTTAATCTCTACGAGCACCAACTGTGCCCCGGATAATTTCGTGTTCATACTTCGTTTATTAGTAGTAAAGGGTTATTGTGAGGTGCGCTGCATCATCGCTGGATGCGTTACGCACGTATGAATAGTCAAAATCAATGTCTGCATCTTGCAGACGGAAAGGATGCACTTGCACACCGGTAGCGGCAGCATACTGCTCACTCCTTGTGCGCAAGAGCTCCGAATGTACATCGCGCAAGATATACGACAGTTGGTGATCCCTCAGCATAAGGTAGGCAGGGGTGTTCTCTGCATCCCATACCTCAATACCCTTAATCCGAGCCGGGAGAGCATGCACATAAGTGTTAATCAGTTGCTGAAAATTCTTGCGTTCGTCCGGCTCCAAATCCACCGTAAACGTGACGGACTTCTGCGGCTCCTCGTAATCCTCCACCTCCTTGCCATCATAGAATACGTACATAAGCAGTACAGCATCCTCATCCGGAGTAGTGGTGAAATACAATCGGCAGAGTGACAGATTAAGTTTGCTGTTAATCTCTACCGGGTGATTGTTCGTGTGCGACAGTAGCGAGAAGTGAGCATCGTGCATCAGCTCCCTGTCACTATCCGCATACAGATTTACATAGAGGTCTTGCAACTTGCTTGCAGTCATAACCGGTGTTTGACCATCGGTAGGACTGACAGAATCTGTAGCAGGTGCACAAATCATGATCTTGTCAATATGGCTGTGCGCCCAATCAGTATTTTGTGGCAAGAAGCACTCCTCCTGTCCTGCGGTAATTGGCACTTCGACCAAATCCACATTTTTATATATTTGCGCTTTCATTTATTACAAAGTTGTTAGTTAGTACTCTACACCGAATATATCGTTAATTTCATCGCGTACCTCACTAAATAAGCCGACACCCACACAATCACCGGAAGTACTTGCATAGAGCATACCATCGGCAGTATCAAGCCATACGGTAGGCCCACCACCTGCAAGCGTCAATTTTACGCCCACAGTTCGCATACTCCGTCCATCACGCTCCTGTACATATTGAGGTTCTACCGTACCATACAGGCTTTCGATATACTCCTCAATCGAACCATATTCCGTATCTTCTCCGTAATAGATATTCAGCAGGAGGCGATTGTACGATGCAGCAATTTCTTGTGCTGTTCTCATATCGTTAATCGTTTACAGATTGAAAGAATAAGAGGAGTGGGGGAGGAAAAAGTTTCGAAAAAACCTCCCCCACTCATCCAATTACCACTGACCTACAGCGTTACCGAATGGGTTCGAGCCGGTCGAGCCCTTATACTCGCAGCCACCTTTCACAAGGAAACCGTCCATCATAAAGACGAGCTTGGCGGTATAGCCAGCGGTTACATGGAACTGCAAGCCGGCAGCCGGGAAGTTGATTTCCACCTTGTGGTCGCGAGTACCGGCAATCGTGTATCGCGGCATGAGCAGCACAAGGTTCTCCTCCAAATCCCACTCCGACTGTACACCCTCCTGTACAGGCTGGTCGTTACTGTCGAGGATAAACGCACCCTGCACCTGCGGAATCTTATGGAACTTCTCCATAGGGTAAGCCGACAGAGCAACGGTGTTATCTACGCGCCAATCGAGGTAGCCGGCATAGAGCTGGTTCATAGTCTCAGTCTCAAAGCCTGCGGTGTGAATGCTGGGTACACCCTCCTCGCAAACCGGGATGTAGGGATATAGACGCTCTACACCCTCACTATCTACGATAGCAACGAATACACCCCATGCGTTGGGCACGAATACATCGTTGCGGTCGAGCGAGTGGCAGCGCAAGCCATCTACATCGGTATCCTTGAGGTTGAAAATGTACTGACCCTTACCATCTACGATAGGAGCCTCCAAACGAATCTTCGACTCCTCCGGGTGGATGTCACCGCTGAAACCGGCAGCCTTAATCATATCCCAAACTTGGTCGAAACGTGCTTTCTTAATATCGAAAGAATTTTTCATAATTGTGTTGTTTTTTTGTTAATTGTTAGTGTTGTTTGTTCTTTGTGCGGACGCTGGGATTACTTACCCATAAAGTCGTTACCTGCACCGGCTACACCGCGTACACCGCGACTACCACGGAAATAGCGATTACCCATGCGTACACGACCAATCGTGCCGGCAGGCAGACCGCTGGTAGTAGTGGTATTCTCTGCGAGCTGATCTGCTACGAGCTGAGCTACACCGCAAACAGCGATACCCTCCAAACCGGATTTAAGGTACTTGTTCTTCACCATACTGCCACCGATTACACCGGCAGCAATCTTTACTGCATTCTTGACAGTCTGCGTCTGCGAGGACAGAGCGTCAAATTGTGCTACAGCGTAATCAATCGCTACGTTTGCAGCACCACCGATACCTACATTTACCAACGTATCAATAGCACCGGATTTCTTCGAAAAAAGTTTTGCCATCTTTTTGCAAATTTAGTTGTTAGTTACTGTTGTTGTCGCATTCCGTTCCACTCCTGCGACCGGGAGCCGCTGCGCACTATGGCGCACGTTTAGCGAACCGTTCCGGCTTAGCCGCGAATCTTAGCGATCTTAGCGGAGAGGGCAAGCGACTTCTTATTCAAAGCAGCACGCTTAGCATTCTCGCGCTTAATCTCATTCACACGCTTAATATAAGCCTCTTTCGTTGCGATACTCGCGGTCTTTTTGGGAGCCTTGGGCATCTTCTTCATTTTCAACATTGCCATAATGCGATAGAAAGATTTATAGTTCTACAATTCATTTATTACTTCTTTTTCTTTTTGCCACCTTTCAATCCTCCGGACAGCAACAGTCCACCTCCGAGCAATATCAGCAGCCATGTGCTTACACTTGCATCCTCACCGGCTACAAAACCGTCACTCTGACTTGGCAGCGTGTTTGCAGCAGAAAGTGTTTCCTTGCCACCGCCAAACAGATTGATGAGCCATTGCGTGATATTCTCCAAAAAGCCCAACACGCTTGCCCAAATGTCTGCACTATCAGCAGCGGACAGTTTCAAGCCCTTTGCAGTCTTTGCACCCTCCGCATCACCAACTTGGTACGCATAGTAAGTACCGGTGCGCTTGTCGTACATGGATGTATAAATCTTGCCATCGTTACCGGTTGCAGAGTAGCTCTTGGCAATCGTCTTATTCTTACCCTTACCATAGACGGTAAGCGCAGAATCCGACACATTTTCACCGGCAGCTATAATATGACCGGTTGTAGGATCAACCGATACATTTGAGCCGGCAAACTCTGTGGGCTTGTCTGTTGCACCAATACCGTACACTCCGGCAGCCCAATTCTTACCGGCAACCTCCTCACCCATAGCAAGCTTTTCAAGTGCCACAGCCGGGGTCATACCGTATGCGTTAATAAACGCTTGCCGGATAGCATCCGTATAAGCCTGCTTGGTAGTCTTGAATTTATCAGCCGAAAGCTGGAGCAGCTTGTTTTGGTTGGCACGTTTGGTAGCAATTACCGTTCGCGCCCTACCTCCCATATATGCAAGCAACCTATCGTCTGCCCATACATACATAAAAGATTGCGGCTGTTCGCACGCTTGTGCTATTGTTAATTCTAACATGTTCTTTAATCTTTTAATATGAATAATAATGCGATTGCACCTGCTGCAAGCAGCATAGTGTTATCCGACTTTTTTTTCAGCATGGTAGGGTCGAAATCCCCGGCATTCGGTATTGCTCCTGTGGCAGTCTGCTCATCTACAGCAGCATACTTGGCAGCCTTTACCTGTGCGACACATTGCAGGATTATTCCGACTACGGATGCAACAAACGAAAGAAGTGCACCCACAAGCATAACAATCGCCTCTATTGTCCACTCAATTACACCAATCGTCTTTATATCCCTCGTACCGGCTACAATATCCTCGCACACCTTTTCCGGAGTACAACCGAAAGTAGCTTTAATCGAATCCCGGATGATACTTTGCAACTCATCCTCCGAACCGTACAAATCGGTAAATGCAGCCTTGCAGTAGTCATATACTCGCTGCTGTTTTGCACGTTTAAGTTCGATGCGACTGTTTCCCATCTTGCGTATCTGTTCGTCTGTGAAAAACAGATACATAAAATAGTCCTTGCTATTGTTGAGGTATTGCGCCAAATCAGCATTTGCCTGCCAATCCAAATCACCTATACCGCTTAACTTCTCATCGCCCTGTGCCAGCGTTTGAGTGATCTGTTCCTGTAGCTCCTTGCTCCATACTACCTTGTCGCGGCTCTCCACTTTTTCCTCCCACCACGAAAGCCATGCACCACTCGCCTGTTTCGTATCATCGCCTACCATTTCCGCAAGTCTATTCAGCAGGTTATCTAAGTGGGCATCGCGATCGTTGTTGTCTATCGAATCATATTCGAAGAATCCATTTTCATACAGACTACCGATTACGTTTCCTGCCCGGTGCAAATCCTCCTTGCGTCCGCTGTACTCCTTAGCGTAATACAGACAGCAGCAAAGCAAGTCTATATTATTCAAGCAGCGTACACGCTCCTCTGTTGTCAGTTGCAGGTAGGCAGCGTCTGTATAGTTGCTATTTATCATCGCAAGCAGCGTATTGACAGCCTGCGTATTGCTTACCGTCCGGGTATTGTCGAGCCAATAGTCGTAAAAGAAACGCGCCTTGCGTTCCTGTCCGGCATCCCCAACACCGCTGCATGCGTATATATTCAGTTTATTGCTCATAATAAAAGTCTTTCTTTCGTCCGTATTCCCTTGCGTAGTTGTAGATAGGGTAGCCCTTATCGTCCTTTTCGCAAGCGTCTAAGATTATCTCGTTTCCATCCTCATCTATCGCCACCGGGTAAACGTGACTATATTGAGTGCCTCCATCAAAATTAACAAATCGGATGATATGCGGTATCTTGCAGCAATGTAGGCAAGAGCTAACAAACATAGTCAGACTTTTGCAATCTCCGCACCCATCTGCCAGCAGGCGAGCCGGTGACTTAATCAATTGCTTGCCCGGATCATCGAGACGGTAGGTTACATTCTCCACAAGGTAAGCAAAGATACTCCGGCACTTATCATCCACCGTTATGGAGCCTGTCACTCCGCAACCGTTTAACTCCCGGCATATATCCCTTGGTTGGTCTTTGTAGTTCTCATAGCAGCGCACTACAGCAGCTACAATATCCGCGTTTAGCCCTGCACCTAAAAAGGTATTCTTGCCATCACTCACCATCATTTCAAATCCTCCCAATTCAGCGTTTTTTCAATCGGCAGACGAACTACATAAGAATCACCCACACCTATATGTCCTACAAACGAAATAGTTAGCGTTCTCGGATTACCTGTTTGCAGGTTGGTGATTGCAGCCTCTGTCAGCCCTTGCATGCTGCACTCCAGCTCTACCGGTATAACATGCGTTTTCTGTCCGGCAAGGTAATAGTCGTATGCCATATTGACACTACCAATCTTTACACCCTGCACATACACATCGCCCTCTATCAGTCGCAACTTCAATCCCACCAGCAGGGGGTTTTTAATCGCGAAGTACAGCCGGAAACGAATTGTTTTCTGTGTCAAACTAACACTCACAAACTCATATTTAGCCAGCCATACCGCAAGCGCATTCACTCCCCGGAGGACGGAATAATACAGCAACGCTGCACCTATTACGATATATCCTAATCTCTCTTTCATACCTATTAAATATCCGGGTGAAAATCCACACCCTCATACCTCAAAGCAAGCGGCATTTCATATCGCGCCTCACCTATAGAAACTATATTTGCTCCACTATAGCGAACCTTGATTATTGCCTTTCCACCATACAAGCGGCTTGTATAGCACTTAATTACGCTGCTAAACAGTTTCTTATCATCAATCTTTGTGATCTCATCCTTTAGCCTGTCTCGTTTCTCCTCCGACAGCAAAGGCAGCCTATGTCCTTGCGTTCCATAAATCACAGCAGCACGCGATTGATGAGGCGGTATTTCAAACTGTGCACCTTTCATGCCCGATTTAGGGAACACAAACCCCTCACCAAAGTAAGAAAGCGATGCACTCACACCAACTATTGTAATCACTCTATCTGTGTCATTCCTAAGCACCACAGCAGGGTATGCCTCAAAGCCTCGCTCACCACTACCTACCACACCTCCGAAGTTACCACACGCAAGCTCTACAGTCTCCACTACCAACCCATCCAGCGGCTTGTTTGGATCACTCGTACTGTTCCATGCGTTTAGTCCGTTCTGTGCCTTTTGGTTTTGGTAATCAATCCAGCTATTATTAGCATTCTTATATTCATCGTATGCATCATCTACTGACTTTTTGCCCTTTCTCCACAAGAAAAAGAGCAGCATCCCAAAACCTATTTTCACAAACTTGTTATTCATACCATCGAAAAGCGGTGCAAAATTACTACATTTTTCGCATATCAATTTGCCATAAGATTGCCACAAGTTTGCCAATCTATAAAGATTGACAAAAACGCGCATAAAAATAGCACCTCGCATCCCTGCGAAGTGCTACCGACAATGAAAAAGAATCTCTATCTTGTCCTCCTATACACCCATGAAATATGCTTTTATCTGTCTCTTTGTCGGTCTTTTCCAGCGATCTATACCGAGTGCCCTTTTCATTTCAGCCATCCTGCGTGCTGCTGTCCTGTAGCTCACATGCAACATAACCTCTATATCGGTAATCGTTGCGTACGGATCATAGTACCGACTATTCTCGCTATAGTCACTCATTATTATGCGTCTTTCAAAAACCGATGCAAAATTACTACTTTCCCACGAATATACCAAATAATCCGGCAGAAAAATGGGGCAAAAAGTGTAGCGTGCATTTAGCGTGCATTTTCCGGCACATTTATATACCATGTACGCACGCATAAAAAGGCGCACGCATTATGCGCGCATTACGCGCCTGCGCATAGTGCATGCTATATCGGTAGTATAGTGGGTTATTAGTGGGTTATTAGTGGGTTGTTTCCGTGGGTCGGCCGTGGGTCGGCCGTGGGTCGATTACTCTATTCACACATCCGGCATCGTGCATCCGGCATCGTGCACCGTAAATCATGGAGTAGGGGGGGGTGTCTTTTTTGGCATTTTTCTGTGTAGTTGTGTAATTCGCTGATTTATAGCAACATGCTATGTAGTACTCTGTGTAGTTCTGTGTAGTAAATACCAATCCTGTGTAGTACCTTGTGTAGTAAATACGCAGTTCTGTGTAGCGTTTTACACATCTTGTGTAGTGATTTCTCGTTTTTGCGTAGTTCTCTTGTAGTCTGCAAATCAGCCACTTGCGCCACTTTTACCCCTCTTTCCTCTTATTTTTACTTACTTTTTCCAAATTATATTAAGGTCGGAGCAGTATTGCTCCCTTTCTATATATGCCCCTCTCGCCTCGGTTTCCCGGATTTCCTGTGTAGTTGTGTAGTAGATTATTGAGTTATGTAAAATAGGGTCTGAGGTGCACGCACGAAATAGGGGAGCACCTGTTTCCCAACAGATACTCCCCACTTAAAATTGAAAGATTATGCACAGCGTTTTATACCGCGCCACCGGTTTCTTGCTCCATAGAATTACGCACATCCTGCATAACCAAGCAATCATCACATAGCCTGCATACATTCCATCCGTCACAATTCCGGCACACTCGTAACTGTGCCAATCGGATAGAGTGCTCTCGCTCCGCGTTTTTAACATCTATTGCAAGTTGCCTCATCCTTACAACATTGTAACATGGCTTTTGGCAGTTCTTTCTTGTTATACACTCCTCGCATACATCATGTATAGCCTCTACAATCAATTCTTCTGTTTTGTTCGTTTCCATACAACTTTAGAATAATAGTGTTCAAATCTTGCTATATAGCGTTTAACTTCCGGTGTGACAAATATCTTCTCACACCCTAAAAATAAAGTACATACCTTGCTCATTTTTCGCCCTCCATTGCTTTGCGGAATATAGCACGAAATTCGCCACAGTCCGTACATATTCCCGGAGCTGTGCAAGTGCTGCGTTTGCACGTTGTTAAGCAAAAGCATTCCTGTGCCACTTCGATACACCTATCTTTTTTTTCATGTACTAATTTTTCTATTCCGGAACTAAGTATGCAATCGCCATTTATGCGTTTACATTCTTTGCATGATTCGTAGGTGTCGCATTTCATAATTAAAAGCCTAATACGATCTTCAGTTGTTACCATTTGTTACCTCCTTTTGTTTTTAGTAGTTATATATTATTTCGGAGCTTGACTTGTGCATTTCCTCCTGTGTCGGATAGAGTACAAACCAATCCTTACCGTCTCTTGTGCTTGCAGATGGTATCTTCTTTGCCTGTAGATATATTTGTATCTTAGTAGAGAAGTACTTCTGCTGGCTAAACTCACCGGGATATTTGTTGCAATAGGTAGTATAGAGTGATCGTTTCTCCCACGCAGCTCTTACTCCCGGATTGATACCTCCAAATGTTTCCTCAAAGAAAGCCCAAGCATCCTTGCTGCCTACAGCCTCCTGTGCGGCTCTCTGTTCAAAGTTTACATCCTCTGGCTCTATTATACCATATAGCAGGTACGTTTCGCAACATCTTACCATAAAGCTGTAAAAGTCGTTCCAATCCTGCTGGCTCCAATCGCCACAGAAGAAACGCTTTTGTTTCACCTTGTGCCTCGCTCCGAAGAAGTCAGCAGGGCGGTTCTTGTCGGAGAAGAAGTTTGCTAATTCGAAAACCACTACTCGCCCTCTGTCGCTTGATCCGGACAATCGCAAAGCTTGATTCATCGAAAGCATAATCTTTATTCGCTTGTACGTTGGGTTTTGGTAGTGCTTTTGAAATACCGCGTTGTCGGTTATATCTCCATACAGATCGTCAAGCACAAACTTCTTATTCAAGTCCTCTATATGTACCAACTGTGTCGATAGATCACCGGCAGAGTATCGTTTTGGATTGGTAGCCTCAAATCCCTTGCCCGGCACATTTATCATAATACAGTCGGTTAGTTCGTTGCGATTCAGTACGTGTGACAGTCCTTTAGCGAGCAATCCTTTTCCGGTTCGTCCGGCAGCGTTGGTATTGTTCTCTAAGTTTACATCTGTAAATAGGGCAGCGCGCAGGTCGCACTCGTAGTTATCGTGCATGAGGTAGCCGAGTATTGACATAAGGCTCCGCAGTCGTTTTTCACTATCTCCGGAAATTTTGTAGCAGAAATACTCGTAATCGCCTACACAAGTGGTGTACTCAAACTTCCGGTCTATTATGCTATTCTCCCAAATGCAACCTCCCTCTATCATAGAGTAGGGTAATTCTTCGTGCTCACATATCTGTTTGAGCTTTCCATCCGGCTGCTGCTCCATCCGGTTCTCAATCCGGACAGCGCAGTTTTTGAAATACAAGTACTTTACGTTCCTGCCATCCCGGAGTATCTTTATAGGCTTAAAGTGTCCGTAGTGATCTACCGGACGCAGGCGGTCGAGTGTCGAGGAGAAATAGTAATTGATATTGCGGTATAGCACCTCTTGTATCATGCGCCTTGTCACTTTCTTTGTCTGTACTACCTCGTCATTCATTACACAAGGAGCCTCGTAATCCGGCAGCTGGCAGATATAGCTTTCGAAAGCATCCTTTATCTGTGTGTCGTTTACTATGGTGATACGGTTGTTTTTGATACGCACATATTGGTAGCCTCCATCTTCTGTGTCGAAACGATAAAAGCCCAATTCGCGCAACTTGTCGATGATACGCAGAGGGTCAAGTGATATTTCCCACTTACCGCCTTTCTTTAGGGTCATAGAGTAGAAATTGTGCATTTTGGCAACAGCATCTTCTTCTTCAAGCTCCTGCACTTTCTGCTGCACATCCTGCTCCATTTCTTCCATATATTTAGCATCTTCTTCCATGGGTGTTGTTTTGGTCTATTGGTCAAATATAACTATCATGCTGGGGAATGGCGCACCACTCTTCGCATCGTTGTAGTGCAACCTGCCCCGGATAAATCGCAAGGTAGAATAGGGTAGTATGTAATCGTGAAAATACGAGGTATCTGTTCTTGCCGGTATTAGCATAACTACAGTAGTATTCGGCTTTTGTGATTCCACAAGGCACTTGTGTGCCCAATCTTTCATTTTGCTGAAAGGTGGATTGACAAATACCGTCTCCCCCCCCCAATCTTGCGCTAAGCCATCCTCCTGCATGGTATAGTGCTTTTGACACTTTGCGTTGGAGTGACTACAGCAGGGATCGAGCGTAAAATGAAATTCAGCATTTAGCTTATCAAATACCGCCTGTGGTGTTGCCCACTCATCTGTAGTACTTGTGTACCAACTGCTATTTATTTTCTTTGGCATGCTAAAATAAGTTTAGTTGTGTCGCTATTCTAAATATGCGAGCAGCAACACGCTTGCTACCTGTATCTTTAATTAGTTCTCCCTGTTTTATAACTTGGTATCTAATCCGTTTTTTTTATCGTCCTTGTAGGAACGTATCTCTGCATAGATTTTGTTTTCTACACTGCATGAAATTAGAGTTTTGCTTTCCATAACTAAGCCTCCACGAATAATTGTCCGAATAATTGTTTTTCTTCCCATAAGGATTGTTCGTGCCGGCTCCGGCATCCGTCCTTTGCTGTCAAACGCTCCTCTATCTTTGCGAGCTCCTCGGTTATCTCGTTGAGCTGATCGTTACTTACACCGGCATCCACAAAGTACACTATCTTTGCGTTTCCAATTAAGCAGTCAAAGGTTACATCTGTAAGTGCAATTGGTAGGGTAGGGATAGCGTCTAACTCTGTAGCAATTGTTTTTGCGAGTAGCATATTATCCGGCAGAGTTCCACAGAGAAAGTTTATCTCTATTGTCAGTCGTGACAGGGATATGTGTCCGCTCTGCTGCTGTAGCTTTAATTCATTATGTATTGTTTTCATATTAGCGTAATTTGTTTTTAGCATACATATTGTTCCATCCATGACTACCGTCTATCATTACGTATTCGCCTAAACGTTGTGAGGTTCTGACTGTGCATGTTTGGAATAGTGTGCCGGTTATAAACTTGTTTCCTCCACACTCCCGGAATAGTGCCTGTTTGTGTGTTTTGTTTGGTGCTGGAGGTATTGTGCTTATACACATATACCGGTGCACTTCTTGACCTTGGATTACTGCGTACACTCCTCCGTCCTCAAACCTTGCTCTTGGCATACCGGCTCCTCCTTGATTAGTTGTTTTTCTATCTTCTCTTGGATTCTCGCTGCTGCCTCTATAGCGAGTGCACGCTCTATCGTGGCAATCTCCTCTTTTATGGTAGCGAGTGCATCGTTTGCCATGTCGAGTAGCATCCCTGCGCTATTGGTATTCCTCAGCAGGCGCGCTACCGTATCTCGCAACTCCGGGTGTCCGTAGGTGTCGAGTTCCGCAATCATCTTGGTTGCGTTCTTGGCGAGTGCATGTTTTGCCTTGGTAAACTCTTGTATTGCTTGGGCATCTTTCTTGGTGCGTGCAATCAGTTGTACCGTTTTAGCGATCTCCTGCATATTAGCAGATGATAGTGTAGCTTTATTCAGTACCGGCAGGATAGCCGGTATGCGTTTTTTTTGTGTCATAAGTATTCAATATATTTTTGCCGGTCTGCGCCATAGAATTTGGCATGCAGCTGGGTTACGGTTACTTTATCACCATCTTTTACTATTTCGTATCTCTTGGGGAAATCTCCCCATGTTATATTAACGAAATACGGACTTGCAATTAGTCTTAATAGATCAGTTGGGAATAACCGCATAAAATTGTTTTCACGTTCGTCTCTGTGTGGGTGGAGTAGGATAAAGTGGGTAAATTTACCTCTCCTTATTATTCCATACTCAACCGCAGTCTTGATTGTCTTTTGCATATCAACAATAGTGCGTTTCTATGGTAAAACAATTTTTGTCCCTACACCACAACACAACATGTTGTCCGTTGATGAGCAGGTGCATGCTTGTAGTGTAGATGCTCATTGCTACATTGATTACATATTGCTTAACCCGGGTGTTAAGATTAACTCCCTCTGTGCTTATATACTCACCATTTGTGAGTGTGAAGTACTCAACGTAGCAATTCTGCTTTTCGTTGCACCATGCAGGTTTTCCCCTGTGATCTATGTAAACCATATCTATAATTTGTTAATAGTTAAATGTCTCCTACCTTTTTTGCCATGCTTGTATTTGCTCATCGGTCTTAACCGGAGGCTTGTACCGTAATCCCTTGGGCTTACATACCAGCGAGCTTTAAGCTCCTTAATCAGCCATTCTGTTCGCTCTGCTGCGTTCATTCCATCCAACAAATTGGATGCCTTTTTGCGTCCGAAAATTGTTCGTGCCATAATTCTTTTTGATTTGTATTAAACATTTGTTTTATTGTTAGTTACAGACCGTCAATTGCCAATCTGTAATGCTTTTAGTCTATAAAGAAGAATTTAATAATATCGGCAAGTGATATTGCCAAATCAAAATCTTTTAGCCTCCTTTGTAGTGCTTGTGCATATCCGGCACTCGCTATCCGGTTATGTGCTAATTCGTAATCCGAAAAGTTTTTGAGTTGGTCTTGTAACTTTGCGGATGTTTCTTTTAATTGCATTGCGAGTTCTCTAATCTCGCGTTCGCTGAAATTTTCCTCCATGTTATTAAAAAATTTATAAATACTTGCATATCTCATTTTTTTGTTGTACCTTTGCAATCGTTTTCAATTGTAGTTTACTTTTGTGAATTTCATCAAAAATCTTTAATCGTGATTGTGTGAAATAAAGATGTGTGAAATTCCGGAGTGCAAATAACTAAAATTCAATCATTTAGCATTTCACAAAAATAAACACTCCTGTGTAATCTTTGAAAAAGTACATTTTGGCATCGTTTCCGAAAACCGGTGGCAAAATTACTGCTTTTCTTTGAATTACACAAGAGTGTATTAACTACGTGCAATTTTATCTTAATAATCGTATATTCTTTTCTTATTTATAGGAGAAAAAGAGGGTAATTTCGGTGTCCTTATTATTGGAAGAAACTGTGATCTGCTCCGGGCAAGATTGCAGTTGTTTGGTGGTAACCGGCTGCTTTAGTACCTGCGAGCCATCGCCTGTGCCTTTCATGGAATAGACAACTTGTATATAATAGGTGTCGTTTGCATCTTGCCAATCCGTAACCTGTCCGGGGTTGGTGGCGGTATATGATTTAGGTAGCACATTATTTGATAGCAACTGCCATCCGGAGATATACCAATAGTCATTTATGATTAAATCCTCATCGAAGAAACGTACTCTATAATACACATCCTCCCAAGGTATCTTTGTGTACTCATACCCACTTACATAGCATGCTGTTGGGTCTTTTACGGTTACATCTGCATAAGTCTCGTTTGACTTTCCATTTTTGGTACTTGCGGTAAGTTTGATTCGGTATGCTCCCTGCTTTGCGTATATGTGTACAGGTGCTGCATCTGTGCTTGTTTCTCCATCGCCAAAATCCCACTTATAGTAGTCGGCATCTACAGACTTGTTTATAAGTGTAACCTTGCGAGGTTGTGACACGCTGTAGCTGAATATGGCTACCGGGTCTTTTAGGATGCTACCGGAGCCGGTTGTTTGGTTGTTTGCGTTGTTTGTGTAAGCGTTTGGAGCATCCGGCTCATTCTTTGGTTGGCACGCGCATAGTAGTGCCAGCAGGAGGGTTGGGATAATAGTGTAGTGTTTCATATTGTAGGTGTTTTAGAAATCCGGTGCAAAGTTACGAAATAATTTCGATATATGCAATAGTAAGCACAAAAAAAAGCAACCCGGTGGGGTTGCTCTTTGGTCGGTTCACGTTTCTGTTACGTATTAAAATAACTTCTCCTTACTCCGTTCTCCTAAATTGTTATGTTGTTAAAAACGCTGCAAAATTACTACATATATTTTATATGTGCAAATTATTCGGCAAAAAAATGGGATTAAAAATAAAATCCGGCATAAACGACTGTATCGCCCTTGATATATCGCTCACCGTTCCCATCGAACTTGTGACACAGGTATTTTCTTTCGCTCCGGTCGTACTCGTCCTTTACCCATACAGGTGCTGTGTCAGTAGGTCGGAGTTTGAAATATACATCGCCCTTTAGGTCTTTGAGCTTGACAGCATACATTTCATCCTCTCCATATCCATCGTTGTCACGAGCCAGCAGGCTGTTGTTGTAACGGATATTTCCAACTCCATCTGTAGTAGTCGGTCGTTCCGGTCTGCGCAGTGGTTCGAGCACCGGTGTGTATTGGTCCGGCTCCTGCGGTTTCTTCCGGAGAAGTAGGTAGGCAGTTGTCAGTCCTGCTGCCAGCAATAGTGTATTATTCTTCTTCATACGCGCATATATTAAAAAGGTACATCGTTGTAAGCGTCTTGTTTTTGGTGGGCATCATAGTATGCGTCCAATACATACTGCTGTGCCTGTCCTACTGATTGGATAGAAAGCAGCGCGCTTATAATTTCGTCTCGTAGCTCCATATCCGTCCTTTCGCCTCCGGAGTGCTGCCACAGATCATGTGCGAGAGCAAGGACTGTTGCACCATCCTTAGCGAGATAGGATATACGCGCCTTGCGTTCTGCGTTTGCGTTGGTGGTAGTAGCGAAACACTCCTGCTTTACTGACTGCCAATTAAGCTTGCGTCCTGTTGCAATATACCATGCTGTTGCATAGTAACCGTTTACGTTTGGCACATCTACAAAGCTTTCGTAGAACCAATCGAGTGCACGCTGTAGTATTTGTGCATCAGTTCCGTAATCGTGGTAGGTGAGTATTACATCGCCCCGGTCGTTGCGTATTGTGTAGTCTGTGTGTGGCAGGTCGGTTTCGCCTATTCCGGAAATAGCGTTGTAGGCACGCGATATGCTGTTATAGTATTGCTCCGGCACGCTCTTAGTGCTCCGGCTGGAGCCGGTGAATCCGTTTGCTGTAGCGCAATACTTCACGCGCCCTTGCTCCTCAGCGGATAGGTCTGCCCACTTCAAGCCCAAGGGTATAGCGAACTGTTGCAGTTCTGCCATCTGTTGGTAAATTCTGCGTTTCGCTTTCTTAGTTGCGCCTATACCGGCAACCGGTTGTTTGCGTGCACCAATCAATCCGAGTGCAATCGCGCCAAGTGTTAAAAGTGTTATCATATCCAATCTTCGTAAATTTCTAAATCAAACCATCCTGTTGTTTTCTGGAGGAGCTGTAAGCCCTCCCAAGTTCCATCGAACCAAAATTCAGTTCCCCAAGAGCCATCGAGAATAATAAAACGCAAGTTCTTTTCCGCAAAGATATTCTTTCGTACCGTTTTATGATCTACTCCATCACCAACGTACATTACATTTCCGTTCTTGAAACCGAATGTGTAGTGATCATCATCTGCGCTCCATGCGTTGTAGTACCTTGCATTATCTACTACATCATCGAAGTAAGATAGCATCTGTAGCTTTCCGCTGTAGTCGCGCGCATCCCTAAACTCCGGAAAATATCCACTCTCAAAGAAAGCCTCTGTGTTTACGTTGTCTGCAAACAGTAGGTCAAAATTGGGAGTATGTATGAAATCGGCACTATAGTCTCTCATATCCAATCAATTGTTAATTAGCATACCTGCTGCAAATATAGCGACTACAGCTATAGTCAGCATGCCTATTGTTCTGTAGCTGCTTTGTTGATTTGTTTGCAGCATGTTATATCCGTTCTCTATGGCTGCTTGATCCGGGTAACCGGGGATGTTTCCGTTTTCGTGTACCGACATGGCAGCAGCCAATTTGATAACATCCGCTTTCCGGTCAAACGATATACGAGTAAACGGAGTAAATCCTGTTTGGTTGCATACACTATTGATATAGGCTTGCGTGTTATTCTCGTTGGTTGGAGCCCATCGCGAAATAATATCGCCTACTGTGGCATATCCCTTATTGATATACTTGCGGATTAGGTACAGAGCAGCACGATAGCCATAATCCATCGAAACAAATTGCTCAAACGCTCCGTCCGTATTGGGGAGGATCTTGCCGAGCCAATTGTTAGCTGTGCTATACCGTATATTTAGTGGGTTGTTGTTTCTGTACCCCCTTGAAAGTTCTTTTGTCATACTCTTTGCCAAATTATATCGCCATTAAGCGTTATTGTGTCGTATTGCTTATCCCCCAACTTGTTCCGGAATCGAAGTGCGAGGTTTCCTGCTCTATTAAAGTAGAAAGCGGAATTGTATTCTACATACCAATAGTCGCTCAAAACTCCCCCTCCGTTTATATGACATACCAATCCTATATATTGGTGTAGTGGGTAGGAAACTATACTATTTCCTTCCTGCTCACAGTATGCTGTCGCTGTTACCCAGCTGCCATTTTGCAGTACATCCAAACATTTTGTAGGCTGTAGTCGTTTCATCGTTTCTTTAGTTTTATTACTATGGCTACTATACCGGCTGCAATCGTAAGCAGCAGTATGATCCATGCAAGTTTACCGGACTTCTCCCAAAATACATCCCATTCATCCGGCTTTACATATCCGTCCGGGATTACCGGCTTATAGATAGTGTCGGTAGTCGCGGAGGTGACAGTATCATGCACCGTCTCGTTGTGGTAGTGGTGCACTATACTGTCGTTTCTAACATAGACCGTATCACCTTTAGTCTCTACCATAACTTGGTGTTCGATATAGATGCTGTCGATGACGCGCTCTATGTTACTGTGGTTGT